AAAATAAATATATATATAAATGTAAGGGGGCTGACAATTCCTCAAAAGAGAATCATTTTTTTAAATGTTCTAAAAAAAGAAAATATAGATTTATGCGGGGTGCAAAAAACTCTTTGGCTTACATGTGATAAATTGCAGCTCAAATCTGAATAATACCCTCACATTTTCTTTCTTCTATGCCTAGTAAAAAAAAAAAAAAGAGGGGTTGCAAGTCTTATGCTAGCCAAGGTTGAATTTAAGTTGATTTATCAGGATAAGCGATAAAGAAGTAAGGTAGAAATGCAGAAATTAACAACCATATATACAACATAGTCAATCTACATGCCCCTAACCACTCCCCTAATAGGTACATACTAAAACTATTTAATTAAGTAAAAAAAATATAAGATTTTAGGATTATATATCTTGGAGACTTTAATACATTAGTGGATCTGGTCTTAGATAGGAAGAGTTTGAGAGGAAAGGGAATAGTACACTCTGCTAGGGAATCACCGGGGACCTTTGGTGACATCCTGAGGAAAAGTGGCATGCGCAACCTATGGAGAGTATGGCATCCTCAAGAGAGGGACTATACCTGTTTTTCGTGTACACATCAAGTATATTCAAGAATAGATTATTTTATAGAGGATGTGGAGACAACAAAAAGAGTAAAAAAATATTTATTACCAATATAACTTGGTCTGATCATAATGCACTGAAAATGACAATCAAAAAGGACTTTGTTAAAGATAGATCAAACTGGCAATTCAATGAACGTATTTTATATAATGAACAAAATTTAGGTCTAAATAAAGAATTAACTGAGCTTTTTTTTAAAGAAAATGAGAGTAAAGAAATTCCGATATCTTTAGTATGGTGTGCATATAAATGCATGATAAGAGGTCATCTAATTAAACTAGGATATCAAGAAAAAAATTAATCAAGGAATTTAGCAGAGTTATATATAGAGTTAGACCGACTTGAGAAAATAGATAAAATTGAGAAATATCAGAGAAGAAATTAACGATATGCTGATCCAAAAAGCAAACTTTTCTTTGGAGAAAATTAAAAGAAGCTGGTATTATAAAGGGAACAAGGCGGATAAGCTTATTACCAGTAGATTAAAAAGTGAAAAAGCTAGAAAAGTGATCTCTAAAATCATTCAGGGAAATAATACTATTCTTTCTCCTTCAAAGATAGGTCAAGCGTTTAGTGGAACTAAATGTCAAAGAAACTGGTAGAAAGCTAAAGAAATGGAGGAACACTGAAATATCATGGTGGGGGAAAATAAACACGGTAAAATCCTCTATACTTCCCAAGTGGATCTACTTGTTTCGCATGGTGCCCATAGCATGCCCAGATAGCTGGTTATTACTAGTGCAGACCATTTTCCATAAGTTTATCTGGCAGGGGAAGCGACCACAAATTAGTGCTAAATGTTTGACACTTAAGGTTAAAATGAGAGGATTGGGTTTACTGCTTTTAAATGCTTGTCATCAAGCTTGTAACTTATCACATGCCCTTATAACTCAATCAGAAGATGCCAAACAGCAAATATGATATACAATCAAACAAGTATTGACCCAGAATATATAGCATAAAAATGATTTGAGCAGGTTATTTTGGCAGGTTAGGAACAAACACAGAAACCCTCCAAAGGCTAAACTTGACAGCATGATCCTTGAAAATATAATAAAACAATGGGAGAAATGTAAAAAAAAAATCTTTTAATTCAAAATTAATTCCATGCCTTTCTTTAGCACTTATCCATAATATAGAGCACTTATCCATAATTTAAATCTACAAAAATGGATTGAGTAAGGCATTTTCAAAATAAGCAACTTACTGAGTAATAATAAACTAAAAGATTTTCACATGTTGAGTACTGAATACAATTTAGGAAGCAAAGAAGTTTTCACTTATTTGAGAATAAAGCAGTTTTTAAACAAACATGGCTAATAAAATAAATAAATTATTGAAAAGAAAAAAACCTTAATGAAGTTAGTAGCTGGCTGTATAGATCTGGGTACAAGTGATCCTGACATATGTTAAACCCATTCTCACGAAATGGGCATTATATTTAAATACTCCAATTAGTTGTGAAGACTGGAGGAAGTCTTGAGGGGAGGCCTATTAAAACATTCACTGTCTTAACTCACTAGAGTGTCAATATAAACTTTCAAATCAATGGTATCTAGCTTCATCCATATTGTCTAAATTCTACCCAGATAGAGATCATAGTTGTTGAAGATGTGGGGATTGAAAAGGGGAATATCTCCACATGTGGTGGTTGTTAGTGATGTCGCAAACGTGAATTTTTCGGTTCGCGAACTGCGAACGCGAACTTCGGCAAATGTTCGCGAACCCGCGAACCAGGCGAACCGCCATAGACTTCAATGGGCAGGCGAATTTTAAAACCCACAGGGACTCTTATTGGTTGAAGGGGGGGGAGACCTACTCTCCTCCCCCCCCGGCCCCCACCCCTGGGCGGCGGGTGGGGGCCATAAAGATAATGAGGGAGGGACCTACTTTCCCCCCCCGGCCCCCACCCCTGAGCGGTGGGTGGGGGCCCTAATAAAAATAAGGGGGGGACCTAATATGGCCACGCTTTGTAAAATGACAAAGAGCACTCTGATTGGCTTAAACCCACCAATCAGAGTGTTCTTAGCCTAATTGCAGGGCGTGGCAAGGCTTTATAAGCTTTCCCCCGCCCTGCAGAGCTCAGTCTGCGCGGAGCCCTCCATGGGTGAAGATGGATTATTTTTTTGCGCTCTGGTTTTTTCTTTTTCGTCAGGCTTTTTTTTGTGCTCGGGATTTTTATTTTATTTTCAATTCGACGCTTATGATGGTTTTTTATTTGGCCTTTTTTGGGGCTGAAAAAAGAAGATTTGAGAAAAAAGAAGACGTTGAATGGTAAGTTTACTTTTATTTTACAGGTTAGTTATTTTATTCCCCCCTCACTATTTTTTAGGGTGAGGGGGGTAGGTAGGGACTTTTTATTTGGGGGGGTGGTGACTAGTGGCTTGGGGACCCCTAGTCACCTTGGGGGGGGGATTTGCTTAGGGCCCCCACCCGCCGCCCAGGGGTGGGGGCAGGGGGGGGGAGGACAGTAGGTCACCCCCCTTATTATCTTTGTGGCCCCCACCCGCCGCCCAGGGGTGGGGGCTGGGCGGGCAGTAGGCCCCCCCCTCATTATCAATTTGGCCCCCACCCGCCGCGCAGGGGTGGGGGGGCAGTAGGTCCCCCCCTCATTATCAATATGGCCCCCACCCGCCGTGCAGTGGTGGGGGCGGGGGGGACAATAGGTCCCCCCCTTATTTTTCATTTTAGGGCCCCCACCCACCGCTCAGGGGTGGGGGCCGGGGGGGGACAATAGGTCCCCCCCTTATTGGTATTTTTAGGGCCCCCACCCACCGCTCAGGGGTGGGGGCTGGGGGGAGGACAATAGGTCCCCCCCATTAGTATTTAGTGCCCCCACCGGTGGGGGGGGACCCTTTTTTTCTTTTTTTAAACAGTGAGCAGCCACAGGCTGCTCACTGTTTAATAGACATGCCCCTACTCGCGGTATTGCGAGTAGGGGCACAATTTACTAATACTAAGTAATTTTTACTTAGTATTAGTAAATTAATAGGTGGCGGACCGAACATCGCATATGTTCGCCGTCGGCGGCGAACGCGAACACGCTATGTTCGCCAGGAACTATTCGCTGGCGAACCGTTCGGGACATCACTAGTGGTTGTGTCCCCCTATAGGACTGTTTTGGAATATGATCAGGAGCAAGATTCAAGTGCTTACCAAAAAAATCCATGTAATTATAACCCTGGTCTGTTTTTACTACAGTTGGATATCAGACAAATTTTTGGATGTGACGCCCCTTTAGTTACACATTTATTGCTAGCTGCTAAAATAATGATAGCTAAAAATTGGAAAGCTTTTAATACATCAATCTTGTACAGTAAAGGACAGCTCAAATATCAATTAAAAATGGAAAGAGGTATAATCAGGGTTTTATATGACAAATTGAATTCATGGATAAATCAAATAGAACAACTATAACATAATTACAAAGTTTTACTCCGTTTTTAAGACAGGATTGGGAGTATACTAATGACTTAAAATTTTTTCAAATGCAGTATTAGATTCTCTCTCCCAGACCTCTTAAGGGGGAAATCCCTTCATTTTTTTTTTTGTTAAGTGTTGTATGTTTTATGTTTGTATTGAAGGTTTGTTTTTATGAACATGGACACAGGGCACTTTGATGGGTACTGTTAGTTTTTCTGATATGGGGATAATGGTTTAGAATGTTTCTGAATATGGAATGAACTTATATGGAATAATCTTTCTATCAATATTGTATAATGTGTTTCTACATGCATGTGAAAAAAGATACATAATTAGAGTTGAGCGGACACCTGGATGTTCGGCCTCGAGCTTGACCCCGAACCCGAACCCCATTGAAGTCAATGGGGACCCGAACTTTTGGGCACTAAAATGGCTCTAAAAAAGTCCAGGAAAGGGCTAGAGGGCTGCAAAAGGAAGTACAGTGGGGGTAAGAGTAGGACAAGTGCCCTGTAAACAATTGGGGTAGCCCCCCAAATATTGGGACATATAAAAAAAGAAAACAAAGAATAAGTGCACTTGAGTATAACAATGTCTGGGTGAGGCCAGTATAAATGTCTATTCTGCACAAGGTACCGATAAGTCTGGTGGGATCCATGCCTCGTTCATTAGAATAAATGTGAGCTTGTCCACATCTTGCTGAAATGCTGCCTCCTGCCTCCAACAATCAGCTGGTGGTGCTGGTTGTTGTGGCGTGCTGACAAAGCTTTTCCACATTTTGGCCATGCTAACCCTGCTTTCTGAGGTGCTGGCGGTGCCCCAGCTGCGTTGGTGACCTCTTCCTCCTCCTCTGCCTTCGCCTTGTGCTTCCACTGAGCCCCCGGTGTCAGTTGGGAACCCTCAGCAGCGCGTCTACCAGTGTGCGCTTGTAGTCGCGCATCTTCCGATCACGCTCCAGTGAGGGAATTAAGGACTGCACGTTGTCCTTGTAACGGGGATCCAGCAGGGTGGCCACCCAGTAATCAGCACAAGTTAGAATGTGGGCAACTCAGCAGTCGTTGCGCAGGCACTTTGGTGACTCTAGATAACCTAGGACCAATCGCACGTCCCCGTGACGGCAACGACTGATTCGGATGTCTGCCCTATCAACTTTCAATGGTACTTTCTGCGCCTACCATGGTGACCACGGGGAATCAGGGTTCGATTATGGAGAGGGAGCCTGAGAAATGGTTACCACATCCAAGGAAGCCAGCAGATGCCCAAATTACCCACTCCCGACGCGGGGAGGTAGTGACGATAAATAACAATACAGGACTCTTTTGAGGCCCTGTAATTGGAATGAGTACACTTTAAACCCTTTAACGAGGATCTATTGGAGGGCAAGTCTGGTGCAGAGCAACTGACCCGTGCGTGCTGCAGCTGAAACTCCACTATCGCCTGCTGCTGCTCGCACAGTCTCTCCAGCATGTGCAAGGTGGAGTGCCACCTTGTGGGCACGTCGTATATGAGGCGGCGAACGGGAAGGCCGAAGTTACGCTGCAGCGCAGACAGGTGAGCAGCAGCAGGATGAAAATGCTGAAAGCACACACAGGCAGCCCACACTTTCTGCAGAAGCTCTGATATATCTGGGTAGTTTTTCAGGAATTTCTGCACCACCAAATTCAGCAAATCCAGGCAAGGGATGTGCATCAAACCGGCTAGGCCCAGAGCTGCTACGAGATTTTGTCATTTATCGCACACCACCAGGCCGGGCTTGAGGCTCAGTGGCAACAACCACTTATCGGTCTGTTGTTCCATGCCTGTCCACAGCTCATGCACGGTGTGGGGTTTTTCCCCCAAACATATGAGTTTTAAAACAGCCTACTGTCATTTCCCCCTGGCTGTGCTGAAGTTGTTGGTGAAGGTGTTACGCTGACCGGATAAGGAGGAGGTAGAGGAGGAGGAAGCAGAGTAGAAGGAGGAGGCAACAGGAGGCAAAGAGAAATGCCCTGCAATCCTCGGTGGCAGAAGGACATGCACCAAACTGCTATCCGCCTCAGGCCCAAACTAACAGATGGTTTATGTCAGGCTACAATGTAACCATCAATAGTCAACAATTAAGTTCACTGACAGTAAGGCAGTGCCGGTGTCCTAAAGAGAAAACATTTCTAGAGGTCACACAACAGTGTGACAGGCGTAATTAATACAGTTACTTCACTGTCTCAAAAAAGTGTGATTTTTTTAAACCAACAATGTAAGAGTAGTATTTAAGGGTTTTATTGGACTGCAAGAAATGCACCGCAGGCTGCAAATGTTCTATTTAGCACAAAAAAGTGTCATTTTTTAAACCAACAATGTAACAGTAGTATTTAAGGGTTTTATTGGACTGCAAGAAATGCACCGCAGGCCACAAATGTTCTATTTAGCACAAAAAAGTGTCATTTTTTAAACCAACAATGTAAGAGTAGTATTTAAGGGTTTTATTGGACTGCAACAAATACACCGCAGGCCGCAAATGTACTATTTAGCACCAAAAAAAAAGTGAATTTTTCAAAGTGCGATGTAACCACAGTATTTGACGGTTCTATTTGACTCCCAGATATGAAGTGCATGCCCCAAATTTACTTTTTAGCACCCTAAAAATTTGGAATTTTCAAAGTGCGATGTAACCACAGTATTTGACGGTTCTATTTGACTCTCAGATTATGAAGTGCACGCCACAAATTTACTTTTTAGCACCAAAAAAATTTGAATTTTTCAAAGTGCGATGTAACCACAGTATTTGACAGTTCTGTTTGACTCTCAGATATGAAGTGTACGCCACAAATGTACTTTTTAGCACCAAAAAAATTGAATTTGTCAAACTGCAATGTCACAGCAGTATTTAAAAATGCCTAGATGTTGCCCACTGAGCTACCAGAACAGGATTAAAGTAATGTGCCTGGCACACATGCAGTTACAAGTGCCCACCTAACAAACAGACTGATTGCTTATTTCTCTGTGGCACTGGGCTCAGGGCAGGGTACAAAAATGTAGTATAGCACCCACAAAAATAATCGCTGTAGTTTGCAGATTCAACACCAGAATTCTTTCCTAATCTGTCCCTCACAGCTGCAGCATCCTCTCCCTAAACTAATAAGAGCTCATGTGACTCCAGAGGCTGAGTCACATGCTGCACTGGCCAATCACAGCCATGCCATTATGCCATTAGAATGAATGTTGCACATTTGTGTAATGTATCGTGTGTACCAAGTTAACTATAGGTCTGTAGCTAATTGTGTGTTTGAGATAAATAATTTGTATATATAACTCTGTAAAAGGTATGTGTAAGCATGTGAATGCATTAAGCTGAATGTGGGATAGTTAGAACCCTAAATACTAGGGATCAACCAATATTGATTTTTTAGAGCCAATACCGATACCGATAATCTGTGAACTTTCAGGCCGATAGCCGATAACTTACCAACACTGATTTTCTGTGCATTTACCATTTTGAAAAAATAAACTATTCCTACACAAATCTACTTGTGTGTTTGTGTAGTGTGTATATAGTGAATGCAGTGTGTTTGTGTAGTGTGTGTACAGTGAATACAGTGTGTGTGTAGTGTGTATATAATGAATGCAGAGTGTGTTTGTGTAGTGTGTTTATAGTGAATGCAGTGAGTATATGTGTAGTGTGCATATAATGAATAGTGTGTTTGTGTAGTGTGTGTATAGTGAATGCAGTGTGTTTTTGTAGTGTGTGTATAGTGGATGCAGAGTGTGTGTTTGTGTAATTTTATTTACTTATTTCTAAAATATTTTATTTATTTCTAAAATATTTTACTAGGAAAGATACATTGAGATCTCTCTCGTTTTCAAGTATGTCCTGGGTCCACAAAACATTACATTGATACATTATAGTACAATAAAATACAAAAACAATATTAAATACACAATATATACAAAATTTTACATAGAACAGGTAGGAAATATATAATCAACCATGACATGTGCATTCTGTTTTGAGGTATGTAGAGAGGGATCTCTTAAAGGACTCTAGGCTTGGGGAATATTTTAAAGTGTGTGGGAGGTCGTTCCACAATTGCGGCGCTCTGAAGGAGAAGGAGGATTGGTCCGCTTTCTTTTTGTATTGAGGTAGACTAAATAAAGTGATGGTACTGGATCAGAGTTTATAGGAGGTGGGAACAGCCGAGGAGAGCATTTTGCTCAAGTAGGGTGGGAGTTTCCCAGAAAAGCTCTTAAACACATAGAATGTGTCTGCAGATATGACCCATTTGGCCCATCTAGTCTGCCCAATTTTCTAAATACTTTCATTAGTCCCTGGCCTTATCTTATAGTTAGGATACCCTTATGCCTATCCCACGCATGCTTAAACTCCTTTACTGTGTTAACCTCTACCACTTCAGCTGGAAGGCTATTCCATGCATCCACTACCCTCTCAGTAAAGTAATACTTCCTGATATTGTTTTTAAACCTTTGTCCCTCTAATTTAAGACTATGTCCTCTAGTCTCCTCCTTTACTGCGTTGATTCCCTTTATGTATTTAAATGTTTCTATCATAGTCCCCCTGTCTCGTCTTTCCTTCAATTTATACATGTTAAGATCCTTAACCTTTCCTGGTAAGTTTTATCCTGCAATCCATGAACCAGTTTAGTAGCCCTTCTCTGAACTCTGTCTAAGGTATCAATATCCTTCTGAAGATACGGTCTCCAGTACTGCGTACAATACTCCAAGTGAGGTCTCACCAGTGTTCTATACAATGGCATGAGCACTTCCCTCTTTCTACTGCTAATACCGCTCCCTATACAACCAAGCATTCTGCTAGCATTTCCTGCTGCTCTATTACATTGTCTGCATACCTTTAAGTCATTAGAAATAATCACCCATAAATCCCTTTGCTCAGATGTTGAGGTTAGGACTCTATCAAATATTCTGTATTCTGCCCTTGGGTTTTTACTTCCAAGATGCATTATCTTGCACTTATCCACATTAAATGTCAGTTGCCACAACTCTGACCATTTTTCTAGTTTACCTAAATCATTTGCCATTTGGCTTATCCCTCCTGGAACATCAACCCTGTTACATATCTTAGTATCATCAGCAAAAAGACATACCTTACCATCAAGACCTTCTGAAATATCACTCATAAAAATATTAAAGAGAATGGGTCCAAGTACAAGGCCAGCGACAGCCAGTTTAGTTCTTTTAGCATGTCACAATGGTGGGTCCTGTAATTACATTGTAGCACAAATCGGCAGAACAAGTTATACAATGTATTGAGTTTATTAATGTGTGATTGCGGTGCAGATGCATATACTACATCCCCATAATCAATGACTGGCATCAGCATTTGCTGTACAATCTTTTCCTTTACTGTAGGGCTTAGGCAGGATTTGTTTCTGTACAGGGCACCTAGTTTTGGATAAAGTTTAGATGCAAGTTTTTCTATGTAGAGGCTAAAAGATAGATTGGGGTCTAACAACATGCCCAAGTATTTGAAAGAGTGGACTGTGGTCAGTGTGCTATTTGAATTTGTTTTGATGGATATGTGAGAATTGTGTAATTTGTGTACTTTAGGTACTGTTCCAAAGATCATTGTGACAGTTTTGTCAGTGTTTAGGAAGAGTTTGTTTTTTGCGATCCACTTTTCTACCTCTGTAAGCTGGTCTTGGAGCACAGCCTCAAGCTGGGGTAGCTCGGATTTCCTTGCGTAGATTACTGTGTAGTCTGCGTACATGTGTACATTTGAGGATTTGCAGACATTAGGCAGATCATTTATACATAATATAAATAGTAGGGGGCCAAGAATGGAACCTTGGGGGAACACCACACAAGACTGGGAGAGGGAGGGAGTCACTGTCAGAAATGGACACATATTGCGAGTGATCTGATATATACGATCAAAACCAGGTTAGCGAACAATCACCAATACCTGAGTTTTTGAGTTTGTGCAGTAGAATGTTGTGATCTACTGTGTCAAAGGCCTTTGCAAAATCAAGGAAAATAGCTCCAGTTAGGTCTCCTTGTCCCATGCCAGTTTGGATGTCATTGCAAACTTTTAAGAGGGCAGTTGTAGTGGAGTGATTCTGGCGAAAGCCTGATTGATCAGGGGTCAGATAGTTTGATTGTTGGTAATACTCACATAGTTGCATATGGACACATTTTTCTAAGATTTTTGACCAGGAGCAATGATATTGGGCAATAGTTAGAAACCAAAGTAGTGCCACCGCTTTTATGGATAGGGACTACTCTTGCAGTCTTCCAAAGTTTGGGTATGTATCCAGACACCAAGGATTCGTTAATTATTGGGCCTT